CTCCAAACTCCCAAGTCCCATGTCCCAAGTCCCAAGGCCAAACACACTATTTACAGATCAAATCAAACTAGTGCTTTGCGGCACCGTCGATCAAACCGGTCAAATTACTCCGTAGTAAGAAAGAAAAGAAAACCTTACTCCTAAAAAAAAAGAAAGTCAAAAGTCAAAATTCAAAATTCAAAGTTGGCTGAAGTATCCGACCGATGATCGCAGTCTGGAATGTCTTGGCGGAGGTGAAATCATTGCTTTTGTCCCTGATTGAGTGAACCCTGACTGATTGACACTACTTACTCCAGGATTGGCTTTGGCGTTGGTGATGCGCGTGTGGCGCGGACTAGGAGGGGATGATTGACGAGGCTTATTGTCGATAGTGGCTTGATTTATGGGGGTGCTTTTTCTTGATTACTATTGCTTATTACTTTATTGCTTTTCTGGGAGTGATTCTGGGAGTGAGGCGAAATGGCTCACTACTCACTACTAATAATCTACTTATTCCGAACACTACACTATTTGACGGGTCTTTTTATTATTATTTCTTCATTGTGTTACCTTACAGTTAGAAAGGTACATTAAGTACAAGTCGGGTCAGTGGCCGGTGGGTGAATCCTCGGTGCTAGTAGTAGGCACCCACTGAGGCACCAGCACACATGACGGGTTGGGAAAACCAAGCAACTCAGTTGGATGGGTATACGCTTAAACGCAATGCACGAAGCACTCAAGCACAAAACAGACGCTTTTCGAACATTGCTCGTTTCATGCGTGGAAAGGACCGACTCCGTCCAGGGCAGATGCAATAAATCCCAGACGCCCCTCACGCCGGATTTGCATATGTAGACTGCGTCAGCCGACGGAAAATGGCAGCCTTGAACACGACCGGGTATTCAGTGCCGCCTTCTGCGAACCGCGACTGGTGAAGAATTCGAAGAAGGTAAGATGCTCACACCTGTGTCGCATAGTAGATGTTAAAAGGAGAAAGGTGGAAATGGATGGCGGAGCCGGAAATAGAAAAGAAAGGGACCATTGTCGATAGGGTCGGTATCCCTATTGAGTTGGCATCACGTGATGGGGGGAAGCGAAGATCTTGCCGGAAGTCGGAGCGAATTAAAAAAAGGTACTATGAGCAGATCTGCACGGCGTTCAACGCCCGTGTCAGCTCCTCCGGTGAGAATGGCATGTAACACCCCTTGGGCGACAAGGGGGGCGGCGAAATCGCTCGTACAGCCGGGGAAGTGTAGCGGATGGTTTCTTTCAGCTGGGCGATCGAGTCAACCCGGTCGAAGTCGGCAAACAGAGTCATCAGGGACTCGCTGTAGCTTTCAGGCTCCACGGCTGTGGATGACGATGAGCCACTCTCTCCTTGTCGGCCGCAGGCGTATTCGTCATGGTGAACCGAAGGGGAATCTGGTGATTGGTCAGATGGCTGATCGTTACACATGGCATATTTTATGATAGGTCCAAGGCTGGACAACATCCAAAAGGGCCGACGAGAGGAAGTATCCCACATACCAACTGTCACATCTACTTCGGGTGGTGCTGTTCGAATCTGATCGGGGGCGAGGTCGTCGGCGGCGTCTTCTTCGTACCGCGCTCTCAGGAAATCCGGTATGGACGCACAGGGGGAGAGGCTGAGATCGGGGGTACGCGGACGTTCCGCTTGGGCGTCCCCAAACGACCATGCTGCAAGTTTCCGTTGATGTTCCTTGTCGAAAGGGCCCTTGAACTTGGACCGAGGGATTTCACCGCGTTTGTAGTATTCGATCTTAATTCCATTGCCCTTGCCCTTGGACGAGGACCCACTGCTGGACCGGCGGAACACCCTCCGCACCTTTTCTCGGAAACTCATGTTGACCGGAGTGGAAAAGCCAGGCGATATGGTGGTGTATGCTGTCGATATGTGTGGAAGATCGTTGTGATATGAGGGGTTATGCGTTCAACCGTCGACTCAAGACCTCAATGTTGCATACCTTTCCCGGGGAGGGAATGGACGCGAGGGAGGGTGTGCAAGCACAGACGACAATCGAGTAGGTCCAGAAACCCTCGTATCATCGTTTGCCTAGACCAAGTGTGGGGTGGAGAGGAGAGGGGGGTTGAGGGGGAGAAGAGGGGAGAGTAGAAGAAAGGAAGAACGAAAGAAGAGGGGAGAGTAGATAGTGAAGTAAGTAAGAGAGAGGAGAGACGAGAGAGAGGAAGGAAGGGCTAGACTAAAGGGTAACTAAGGAAAGAGAGAGAGATATGATGGGGATTATGTCAAGGAACTAATGGAGCAGCAGTCCCAGATAGTTAGAGAGACAGCACGACTAACTGGGAGGAGTAATCGGAATCAGCGTCCATACCTATGATACAATGCGATGGGGAATTAATTACTCGTAGTTCGAAGTGGAAGGGATCTGATTGGAACGAGCGGTGCGAGGCACCATGCCGTTAGTTCCATACCACCACGACGGGGCTCCATCCAACGGAATAAACGGAGTAAACCATTCCCAGAATGCACTGGGGCGGCCATTGACTTACCGGCTGGTGACTTATCATGGCTCGCTTGACCTTACTTTTGCTCTGCAAAGGCCAAGGTAACCTAACCCCACGGCTCTGGGACTGGGAGGGTAAGAGGAAGAGAGCCGGTAACTGGGTAAGCCGCGATTACCTGCGGCCAAATCCGAGGCGTGAACGAGAAACAAACGCCGAACGTGGAGGATCCACCGGGGGGGTTTGAGCGAAGGAGGGAGGGTTGTGCGTGAATTTCCCAAGCTTAGCCTGATTGTTCTTAGCCGGAAAGACAGAATGGGGAATGAGACTCGGAGTGTAGCAGCTTGTGCAGTAGTTGAGTTAATTATTATAAGTCTTGGGGGTTTTATGTCACTCGACGAAGGAATATGCTAGATCATAAAATTCCATGCTTTGAGGGATAATATTAAAATAACTTATAAGAGTAGAAATACAAAGAAAATGACTGACAGGATGGCAAAGAAAGTCTTCATCGTCATCATCACCAGTCAACTTGTTCCCCCCTCCCTCCTCCCCTCCTTCAAGCGGGACTCAACCCAAACATGACATTTTTCGTTAAGCAATTTCCCTAACGAAATATTTCCCTCACTCTCATTCTTTTCCGCGGCGCTTCTGCAAACCCGGCCATGGAGTGCCGAGTCCCGATTCTGCCTTTCCCAGTTAGCCTAGAGCTGACTAACCCCTTGATTCTGAACCGTAAACTTGCCCCCCTCCTTCGGTGTGGCCCTCTTCTTGGTTACTCACCTTCCAATCAAACGTCCATCGGAGGAGGTTCACCGTCGGGTTGCAATCGCCAGAACAAGGTACTACCTAAGCCCAAAACAGTCCTATCTAAACCATGGTTTTGGATGCGCCAACCTCCCAGACCAATTTCCGCATTACGAGTGGTCGGGAAGTTACGCATCTCCGGCCGAAGAAAGTCAGAGGGTGGTAGGTAGTAGTACTAGTAAAAAACTCTGGGTTCTCTTTTCCCACCACTCTCAGGTTAAGCTTACACTTTCCCCCAACATGTTGCAGGGCTGGCCGGCCAGCCGACGGACTGGGCTGGGCTTCGTAAGATTGCTGCAGAAGACAGGTGTATATCACGGTGTACTATCGCCCAGCCGGCAGGACTTGCATGATGGTGTGTGAGTAAGTGCGTGTGTGGCAATGGCAAAAGATCAAGCAAGGTATCTGTCGTCTGTCTCTTGCTGTCGTGGTCTTGCTGCACCGAACGATTCCAGAAACACAGCCAAGACGGTCCGATCTACGTGCCACCACCGACCGACTCGAGTCAAGCTGCATCTTGTCTCTCCCACCGTAGCGATCGGGATGTAACCCTGCGATTCCCCCGGCATCATTCATCATTCGTTCCCTCATGGAGGCTGGAATCTGGATGCTTCTTTCTGTTCTGTTTGCTGTCGGATGTAGATAGGCTGGGGAGGGCACCAGATGACTTGGTAGTAACTATCCCACGTCAGTCGCCGGAACCGAGAACGGTGCGGTGCCACTGGGACAGAAGGTTCTCATCTCAGACAAGTAACTAGTACGAACACAGTAGCAAACGGTTTGACTAATGAGATAAAGAACCACCCATGGACGATAAGTGATTGCGCGAATGATATCGCTGGCATAATCGTGGATTCCGACTGCCCCGCTGAAGGTGGTTCGGAGTCGCCCCCACTCGGCACGGTACTTCCGGTGACCAGAACGGTTATCTTTGGCTCATGTAGCAAATTCTTACAACCATCTTTCATCAAATAGGCCTGCTGGCCCAATGGTAAGGCGCTTGACTACGGATCAAGAGATTGCAGGTTCGAGTCCTGCGTAGGTCATTCTTTTTTTTCCCGCTTTTTTCCCTTATGTCATCCAGGGTATGCCCAAGTGCCTACCCAGTTGATATATCTATATTTTTTTTTTTTGCCTTTCTGCCATCGTCAGGCACGCAGAATATGGAATCATACAGCATAACCCAACAACGAAACTGAAACTCAAAAGATTGTTGTGAGACGCAAGGGGTTCACCCCAAACCTGGCACGTTGTTGGGCCGTCACCACACACGCTCGGCGTGGCATTGCAACAACCACCCTCAACTAACTAACTAACTTACGCCCTCCCTTCCATGATGTCATCATGGCAGCGCACTCACCCCGGGTTTTGCCTCCCTGCCCCAGACATGATTCTTCCGTCAAGTTCGCCCGTAAACTTACTTCTTCGGGCATGTATACATGTTACATACGTCGTCCCCCGATAGTTTGGGGCGCAGAGGAAAGAAGTTGACGATTTGGCCACTTGTCATCGGTAAGGGATATACTAACTAAAGTAGTGGCCACCTTGCGCGGCCGGTTTGGGCGGCCGTCTCAGCTCGAGCTACTTAATATATACTAGACGTTTCTGTGCGGTGGGTTGTGTCATATTGAATTGAGACACGTGATAGTTACCTATGTTGGACTGTGTAGAAAGCTAAAGCTATACTCAACATATTAGCAGTCTTTACGGGGTCAGTTCAAGCGTGATGGCTAGGTCTTGGCTTCTACTACTGAATTGGTTAAGGACACGACGACGGCTGGCATGTCGACCGGAAACGGTTCCTAAACCTTTCATTCCCTGTCCGGGTTTGGCCGACCCTGGACCCGACGGCATGCCTCATGATGCAATCGACCGATCGAACACGGGCGCGGGTGTCACCGTACCTTCTGCTTCTACAAAGTACCTGCAGTAATAATAGGATGGTTGATTGTAAGCTGTATCGTGTAGCAGCAGACTCAACTTTGTGGTTTGATTAGTATCCTGATAGTTTGGTTAGTGGTCAATAGATATCCTGCAAGTTCGACTTCTCATTAATTGGCTATATAAGCCAATGCAATGAATGCATAAAGGCATTGTACTACGTATGTAGTAACTCCGGTCAAGTGAGACCTTGCCTTGTGCGGACGGCTCGCCTCGGATAAACTCAGGTCCCGCCGGGGCGGGATGGGATCGTCTGCAAGCTTGGGAATTAGTCCGCTTAACATGGCTTGTTAAGCCCCAAGCTGCAGGTACAGTTCCGACTCGCCGGAATCAGGGGGATGTGCGCCAGCTCCAGCTGCCATACTGCTTGCTTGACACTCAATCGCTTCGTAATTGCCATTCCTGCCATTCCTGTAGAAGCCGCAAGCAGCGCATAAGCTGGGTTCGGTCTGGTGCAGAATAGCAACTGCCATCATGGCTGGCCAACGTGATTGTTGTCTCTTTTGTAGTCATGACTGAGAGCAGGGTGTTGTTGAAAGGAGATGAAGAAGGATTTGTAGGGAGTGTCAAGCCGAGCCCATGGAAAAGCGCCTGCAGGTAATAAACATCTGCAACCCTCATCCACGCGCAATTCAACCCATATTTGGATCCGCGTGCACTGTGCCCCTTCCAATCTTACCCTGTTGTTCCCCTTCGACACGACCCCATGTGACCGCGGCGTGACTTTCGCCCTCGTTTGGATTCCCCCGCTCCCACAAGCATTCATTCACAGATTGTTCCTGTGTGTCTGGCGCACAGCTCAACTACAACACGCGCTACGGGTCTACCTACATTGAAATTGCACTGGTCGCGTGCAGCTCGAAACCAATCCAAGCGCCGGTGGTTCAGTGTTACCCGCAAATTAATTGCACCTTGACCGGGCCCTCCACGGATTAACGTTCCCCGAATCGATTTAGGCAATCGGAAAGGGCCACAGGGCAACATACCAGACCAGCCCGCCCCTAACTTCCCACTTCATCTGCCGTTGGTTCTTAATCCCCATTCTCGGAATCGCACGACCTCGACGTTTCGCATCCACGATTCGTGTCCATTCCGTTCGCACAGACTGTAGGTTTTGTCCACCCACTGCTGCATTGAATCGTTGTCGTCATCGCCAGTGTAACTAACATAATTGTTACTGCACAGGATAATCCATCACAATGCCTAAGAAAGGAGGAAAGAACAAGAACAAGGGCAAGAAGAGCGGCGGTGCTGCCGCTGCCGCGAAGAAAGCAGCTGATGCCCCCAACAATGTGTGAGTAGAACTCAATCGCACCCGCATTGTGCTGTTGTTTCGTCATCGCAATCTTGTTTCGCACAATGACACTGACATTTTTCTCTCTGGAACAGTGTACCAGCCAACGAGGTTGAGGAAACAGTTGCCAAGAGCGACAGTGAGCTCGAAGCTGTCGCTGCCGAGGCAGGCGTCACTGACACCACTGCGCCTGAGGCTGTCGTCCCCGAGACAGTTACCAAGGACGAAAGCGAAGTTGAAGCCGTCGCTGCTGGTGCCGACACTGGTGTGACTTCAGCACCCGAGACCACCATCCCTGAGACTGTCGCCAAGAGTGAGAGCGAAGCCGTCGCTGCCGAGACAGCTCCTGCAGTGACTGCGGCACCCGTGGCCACCGTTACTGACACCGCCGCCCCGGTCCCCGCGCCTGCCCCTCCGGTCAACTTCACGGAGGAGGCCTCAAACGCAGTCAATACCGCGTTCCCCAAGATAAACGATGGCATCGTAGAGGACGCTGCGCAGCAGACGAAGACTGCTCAGGCGGAGACAGTGGAGGAGGGCACGAGTAAGTAACCCAATGGGTGCGCATTTGCGCAGGGCTGATAGTTTGCTGACAACGTTCATCACCAGCTGTCCTACCTTCCACCTCCACCCTTGAAGCTTCCAATGCGGATACCACAACCCTGCCTGTGAGAACCAGCACCCTCGAGCCCGAGACCGCCGATGCCCACGTGAAGCGCCCCTACGAGAGCAGCATCACCACCAAGGAGGATGACCACAAGCCCCACAAGATGCCCAAGGTGGAAGATGAACCCGTCATTGCCACCGAGAAGGCAGCAGCCGCAGACACTGTTCCGGCTCCTACTGGCACCATCGTGCAGCCACAGGTTGTCCCGGGACTTGGTGCTGGCTCCGCTGATAAGGCGTCGAAGGACTTGGAAGTTGCCGGACTTGCCACGACGGACAAGGATGCTGGAGCTGCGTCCACCACGACAGTACCTCAGACTACCGACGCCGTCCCGGCCAAGGTTACCGAAGCTCCGTCCAGCGCGGCCGCTGACACGACCGCTGTCGCCCCAGTGGAAGCTTCTACCAAGCCCGAGACTGCTGCAGCCATCGCTCCCTCTGAAGTGCCTGAGAGTACTGGCAGCGCCAAGCAGACGACCGAGGTGACACAGCCGGAGCCAGCGACGGCCACCAAGGCCCCGACCGCAGCCGCAGACAGCGAGCCTATTGCGGTTGTTCCCAGCACCATCATCAGACCCTCTGGACGTGACAGCAAAGCAGCGGATAAGACTGTGGAGGACACCACTGCTGCACCCACGGCCACTGAGGCTGAACAGCCCCTGAAGGTTGCGGAAGACAAGGAGCAGGCGACCAAGGCACCAGAGACTTCCAAGCGCCTCAGCGCTGTTCCCTCTACGATCAAGGAAACGAAGCCCCAGGAGGCCCAGAAGACCGAGACCTCAGCCACCCAGGGAGTTTCGGCTAGTCAGAAAGAGGAAGGCGCTGCTGCCCAGAAGGCCGAGGAGGTCAAGTCGGAGCCTCAGGCGGAAGGCACCTCTGCTGCTGCTGCTAAGCCCGAAGCCGCTCAAGCCGGACAAGAGACCCAGCAAGCGGGCGCCGCTGCCCCCAAGGCTGAGGAAGGCAAGACGAGCGTTGAGCAGGCCAAGGATACGGCCAAGGGCGAGGCCGCCAAGCCCCAGGAGACTGCGAAGTCGGAAAGCAGCAAGGCCGAGAAGCGCAAGAGCGGACTTTTCGCCTGGCTCAAGCGCAAGATCAAGGGCGAGAAGAACTAGAGCTCTGCCTTGTTTCTCTGTGCTTTTCCTGCCGGAGGTGTTCTCCGGAATGAACTTTTGGCTCCTTTGGCGAGCGGTTGCCGGCCCAGGAGCCCATATTGCTGATACCCCAACATGGATGATTGCATGGAGTGATGGATATTAAAAAAGCAAAACAAAAAAACCCAATAAAAATATGGAATAAGGGAAAAGAAAAAGAAAAAAAAAAAAAAAAAAAATCAAGGCTAGGCAGAAAGATACCAGAGATAACATAACGCCTTAGTATGATGATGGATGGCGGGTGTACGATATGAATGGCCAGGACAGGATACCACCAGGGATAGGATTGCTTGAATGATTGCTTGATTGGGCTGGGCTTTCTGACTGGGATGCTGCAAAGCGCTATTTTGTATTTCGGACGGACGTATGGTTTATGTTCACGTTCACGTTCATGTTGATGTTCATGTTCATCTGGGCTGGCTGCATGGGCCGAGACTGGGACGAAGTGTATGTAATTGGCTTAATGGTAATGGAGGGGAAATATGATGATTTTGATTATTGTTTTTGATGTGGTGATTCCGGAGGAGACCGGGATACTTCTTCATCTTTTTATTAGTGAGCAGTGTAGACGTATAGTAAGTGCTGGGTGATGGCTGGGAGCTGCCAACCTGGGCACTTGGCGAAGCTATTCCAAAGAGTGGATAGTTGCCAAAAAGGACAACACATCACGGCAATTCACCGCCATTTGCAGCGACGAGGATGTCGGCAGTGGTTATCGGATTTTAATTAATTATTACGAGGGACAAACCCGAATCTCTTTGGGGTTAGTTGGGACCACCAGGAAAAGAATTCCCCGTCACTATGGATCTCTTCCACTTCTTCCACTGCTTCCACCTCTTTTAACAGCTTCCATCAATAGCTTCCCTTCAAACTCGCCACTATTTGCTGGGCAAGTTTGTTTTCTCCCCACCACAGCCGCTATCTCTTTGCTTTTCTATTCTGATGAAATTCTGATGATCCCTTCCAAGGCCTTCCAAGAAAGGGGATACTTCGATCGGCTAGTCAGCGATGATATCACTTGCTATCACTTACCTTGGCCGATCCCTCCGTCAGCCCCTCCACTTGCCGCCCCACGATGAGGGAATTCGCGCCTCCCTTTCGTCCTCGTCTTCCCCTCTTTCGGACTTTTGGGTGAATCAGTCTCCATCCTGACTCCATTCCCATCGTGGCTGAGACAATTCCCACCGGTTGCCGACCGATCCAGGCCAAGCTTTCCTTAAGCTTTAGCGCCGTGTCCCTGGTCACTGTCTGATGATTCGCCCATCCGATCACACGAGGGAGGGGTCCCAAACCTCGATCTCCACTCCTTCGTCCCTCCGTCACTGGCAATGGGCGTCTCCAGCACTAGTCTAGGATTCTAGGACTGTGTCTGAGCTACAGGAAAGGGGCTCCATGAGTGGCTGCCACTTCTCGGGGCTGAGGACAACAGCCAACGAGTGGCTGTTCCCTCCTCCCGTGTTGTGTGAGCTGACGGATGTTACGGCAGGCCAGAACAGGGAGCAGGGGGGACAGTTTCAATGAGCTAACTGGATTGACGGCCGTTGGCTGATCGTGGGAGCCTGCTGTTGCGCCCCTCCTTTCTCTTATTTACATCACGGCGCTCCCCCCTTTCCTGTCGCTGTTTCCTAGCATCGCTTTTTTTCTCTTCTTCCTCTTCATTCACATTTACACATTTGATTCGGCACAATGGTCCATCTTGCCCAGGTTAAGCGCGACAGTAATGTCGAGAAGACCGCTGAACGGGTCGACTCCATCCAGCTTGAGGACGATGCCTTCTACTCCAGCGTCTACGGCACTCGTTTCGCTACGGAGCAGTTGCCCTCGACGGAGATGCCGGAGCGGGAGATGCCTCGCGAGGTGGCCTACCGTATGATCAAGGATGAGCTCAGTCTGGATGGAAACCCCATGCTCAAGTAGGTTCGGTCGATAGCAAGACAGGACAAGAAGCTAATCCCTTCACAGCCTTGCGAGTTTCGTGACGACCTACATGGTATGTGTTTTGTTCCTAGGGTATCAGGACAATGCTAATTTGAGTAGGAAGAGGAAGTTGAGAAGCTCATGACGGAGTCCTTCAGCAAGAATTTCATCGACTACGAGGAATATCCCCAGTCCGCCGAGATCCAGAACCGCTGTGTGAACATGATTGCCCGTCTGTTCAACGCTCCCACCGACAGTGATGACGAACACCCCATGGGTACCTCTACCATCGGATCCTCCGAGGCCATCATGCTGGGCACCTTGGCCATGAAGAGACGGTGGCAGAACAAGCGCAAGGCGGAGGGCAAGGATGCCTCCAAGCCCAACATTGTCATGAACAGTGCCGTCCAGGTGTGCTGGGAGAAGGCCGCCCGCTACTTCGACGTTGAGGAGCGCTACGTCTACTGCACGGAGGATCGCTACGTGATTGACCCCAAGCAGGCCGTGGATCTGGTGGACGAGAACACCATTGGTATCTGCGCCATTCTGGGCACCACCTACACCGGTGAGTACGAGGATGTCAAGGCCATCAACGACCTCCTCGTCGAGCGGGGCATTGACTGCCCCATCCACGTCGATGCCGCCAGTGGTGGTTTCGTCGCTCCTTTCGTTGCCCCCAACCTGGAGTGGGACTTCCGTCTGTCCAAGGTTGTGTCCATCAACGTGTCTGGTCACAAGTACGGTCTGGTGTACCCCGGTGTTGGCTGGGTTGTCTGGCGCTCGCCCGAGTACCTGCCCAAGGAGCTGATCTTCAACATCAACTACCTGGGAGCCGAGCAGGCCAGCTTCACGCTGAACTTCTCCAAGGGCGCGTCGCAGGTCATTGGACAGTACTACCAGATGATCCGACTGGGCAAGCGGGGCTACCGGTCGATCATGACGAACATCACGCGCACTGCCGACTACTTAGCCGAGCAGCTGGAGCAGCTGGGCTTTGTGATCATGAGCGAGCGCGGCGGCAAGGGCCTGCCGCTGGTGGCGTTCCGGCTGCCGGCGGACCGCGACTCGGAGCAGTTTGACGAGTTTGCGCTGGCGCACCAGCTGCGTGAGCGCGGGTGGATCGTGCCGGCTTACACGATGGCGCCCAACAGCAACTCGCTGAAGCTGATGCGGGTGGTGGTGCGTGAGGACTTCAGCAAGAACCGGTGCGATGCGCTGCTGGCGGACGTTAAGCTGGCCTTGAAGACGCTCAGCGACATGGACAAGGCGATGTTGGAGCGATACACTCAGTAAGTTATCCTTGGTGAGAATGGTGTCGATCCGAGTAATTGCTAACGGAAGTAGTCATGTCCGGGTGCACTCGACCAACTCGCACAAGTCCAAGCATGTGCACCCTCACTACAAGAACGAGACCCATTCCTTGCAGGGCAAGCATGGCAAGACCCACGGTGTGTGTTAGAGTAGACTGTTAGATGACAGTGGAGGATGGTGGACAAGGACTGTATATGAGCATGGACATAACACGGATACAATGATGCTAGACATCTCCGATACATTGAATGCGAAAGAATTGAGACATTCACAGTGCTGATAGTTGGATCACCCATGCTACTTACTAGTAAAGGTGAAACGTGGAGGCGAGGCTTTGGACTGCAGCTAAAAGGCGACCGTCAGCACCAGCCTTGTACTATCAAGTAGTTGTTTGGCCTCGAGTCCAATGGGCTGTGCAATTTAGCCCGCCTTGGGGCCGCCCGGACCCAATGGCTCACTTTCTTTATTGAATCCCATCTCATCCTGCATTGGACTGTCTCTCTCTCCCCTCTTCCTCTTCCTCTTCCTTTTCTTCCTTCTCTTCTCTCCGTCTTACTTTTTTATCTTTTTATCCCCCTTCCTTTCTTCCCCCTCCCCTTCTCTCACTCCCATCAATCCTCTCTCCCTCACCCTTCTCCATGCCCCTCTTTCGCCGTAAGCACAAGCCGTCTGCTGCCGCGTCTGCATTCCGATCTGTCGAGCATCTGCCCGCTGCCCCTGGCGTCTACCCCGACGACGATCTCGACCGTCGTTTCTCCGTCTCCACCTCCCGCGAGCGACTCCCTCCATTGCCTGTCACTTCATCCTCCACCAACAACACCAACACCACCACCTCCCCGCCTTCTTCCACTGCTGTCAACACCACCAACACCATCGCTTCTACTTCCACCTCCACCACGCCCGGTGCCTCTCCGCAACTCTATCAACACGATAATAATACCCAGGAATTTTCCACCCATCCCCTGCGTCGTTCCAAAAGCCAGCGTCATACCAGCCCGCGAGGCAACAACAGTAACGACAACACTCCGGTACGGCCAGCGTCCCCTGCACCCATCCTCGATGCTGACCCTCTCACTCAGTCGTGGCCGCTGCCACCCGAGCCACTACAACCCGTCGAGCCAGAACCTCGCAAATCCCGTCGCAGTCTCTTCTCGCTTCACTCGTCTGCAGCCGCGCGCGACCAGTCCGGAATTCTGCAGCGCAGCCGGTCGGTCAAGAAAATCTCCACGGGTCGATCCTCCAAACAACAGCGACCGTTGTCCATAGACACTACGTCCGAACGCCGCCCGGGAACCTCTTGGTCGAGAGAGCATGAATTAGACGCCCCGTGGCCCAAGGTTCCTCAAGCCCGTCGACCCCAACAACCGCCGCAACAACAACCGCCGCAACAACAACCGCCGCAACAACAACCGCAGCAGCAGCAACAGCCGGCGTCAATTCAGGGTCAGGCACCTCAGCCTCAGCCCCAATCACAAACCCCGACGCCGTCCCATACTCCTGCAGAATCCCCGGTTCAGCCTCCGCGGAACCACCCTCAAGCACAACAGCAGCCAGCGAGTCGATCACCCATGCCGCAGAACACAGGTCCGACGCCGACGCTCGACACCCGACCTCCTCGTTCACCGCATCCTTCCGTCCAACGCTCCAATACCGACAGCGGCCTGCTGGAACATCTGACTCGCCCGTCACCGGTGGAGCCGTCCCGACAGCCCGCTGACTTGGCCCCAACACCGCCCCAACTGGACCCCACGGTCGGCCCTCGACCTTCTTCCCGCCAATCCCTTGGGCCCCCTTCACCATTACGCCCACTCCCCGTTCATCCAGACACGGTTGCCAGTGGCATGCCCGACCGTCCATCCGCGCCCCCAGGACAGTCTCCTGTCCCTGGGCATTCCCCTTATCCGGAAGCTGGCTTCCGGAACAACACTGCGTCGACGCCAGAGCAGGGCCGGAACACGCCCAGTTCGCGTGAGAGCCGACGTGATCGTGAGGATGCCGAGATAGATGTGCGGGCTTTGGTCCAGAAGCATGATGAGCTTCGTAAGTAGCTGTTGCCACCGCTCTGGATGGTACCATCGCTAATGAAATGCAGAGGCCAAATACTCCAAGGTTAAGCGTTACTACTTCGAAAAGGAAGCGCAGGTACAGCACCTTCAGAATACCGTAGCACACCAACGTATGGCCGTGTCCCGCACCGTGCTGGACGACAACGAGTATGCCAATCGGTTCGGTCGACTGGACGGTGCGATCAAAGATCTAGCCTTTTCCATTCGCAAGGACTGGGCGACACTGCCCTCCTGGCTGAACGGGTTCGTCAATGACGACGCACACACCACGGGCACCAAAGAAATGACCGCGATCGGCCGGGCGGTGGTGAGCCGGTGGTTAGTCGAGGAACTGTTCGAGCGCTACTTCCACCCAGCCTTGGAGCCCACCTTCAGCCGACAGCTGAAAAGCATCGAGATGAACCTGCGACGACAGCAAGCGCAGCCGTCTACAGAAGAAGACAAGGAGAACGCGATCGCGCGCATCTCCAACTGGCGGCGCACCACACTGGACGGACTCACGAACCTGCAGGGTCCGCAGGCGGACGAGTACCGGGCCCAGCTCATCGACCGACTGATCAACAGCCTGGTAGCGACGCTGGTAGCATACTTGCACGACCCGCCGCCACCGGGGCTGGACAACGGGGCGCGCATGATCGTGGAGAACGCCGTGGGCATTGCCGAGAAGATCCCGCTGGAGTCGCGCGACATTTGCGTCGAGTACATCCTCCCAGGCACAGTCGTCCAGGAGGGTACCATGAAGGTCGAGACGGGGCTACCGCCACTGACCCATGTGCGGACCGAGTCTGGTGGCTCCGCCGAGCAGGAGCGGGCAGAGGGCCCAGACGAGACAGAGGGAGGCGACCCTGGCCCGCCGCAGCGGGAGCAACGCATGCGGTCGGTGTTCAGCTCGTTGATGGGACGGCGTCCAGGACCGTCCGCACCAACCGGGGAGACTCGAGAGGAGCGCGAGCGTGGACCGGGACGTATCCGATTTGCGTCATTTGTGACGGCAGAAGTGAGAGGAAAAGGACCGATGAATGTACTGGTGAAGGCGCCTGTATATGTAGAGTGATGTCCCAGCTACATACACAAAGTTACGATAGAGCATACATATCAAAGAATGATATGATCATGATGACATGATTGCATTATTAGTATTAGTAGTACATTATCCAACCCATCCATCCATCCAATCCCCATCCATTCCACACCAACCAATATTTAATCTATTCTATGCCAGCATATACAGCATACATACCCATAGCGAAGAAGAACAAACAAACAAACCAACAAAGTCAATGCATGCAAGCATGCACACACACCACACCACACCATCTGTGACCAGCACAATCCATGATCTCACATAATACACCAGGTACTAACTACTACACTATTATCCTACTCATCCCCCCAAATCAACAATCAACAAGGTTATTTATTATAAACACCCAAACCACCACCTCCTCTTCCTCTCCACCTCATCCACATCCTTCGGAATCGACTCCAAATAAACAACCACCCCCAACACCTCCAACAGAAACCTCTCCCGATACGCCACAGCCCGGACTACATTCTCATCCAGATACTCGTTCATTTTCCGGAGGAGGATGTCGGTGTCGTGTCGGGCTAGGGTGAGGAAGTCGTCCGCTGTGAGGGAGAGTTCCACTTCTTCTTCTTCTTTTTCTTCTTCATCAACAGCATTATTATTTTTTTCCTCGGTTGGTTTTTCGTTATTGTTGTTGTTGTTGTTAGCGTTATTCTTCCCTCCGGGGGAAGAAGAAGCAGATGTGGATGTTATAATAGAGTCAAGATCAAGTAAATCCTCCACGCCTCTTTCTAGGGATTTATCATGATCGATCCAGACACAGAAGCCCTCGAACATGCCATTCCGGGTGAGGAAGGACATGACGGATGAGGGGTTTGTGCGGTTGAGGATGTGGCGGGGGAGTTGTATCCCACTGTCTTTGGTGGATGATGCAAGCATGCGGTGGAGATGTGTTGCGCTGCTGAGGTCGAGGAGGAGGTCGGATTTATCATTGCCATTTCCTCCACCTCCATTGGTAGTGGTAGTAGGGGTAGCTGTACCAGCGCGCCTCTCCGCAGTAGACGACGACGACAACAACAACAACGAAGCAGACGTAGTACTCGACGACAACAACGGTCGATCATACCCCACTCTAACCCTCCAAAACCAATTACACGCAATCAAACTCACAATACACGGCACCAACACGACATACCCATACCACATTGTAGCGGTAACCATGCTCGCCGCGCCGGCTACAAGGCCATTGATCCCGTTGACGAGGGCATGGAATTGCAAACTGCGGAAGCGGAGTTTCAGTGGGTGGTGGTACATTCGAACTTCTTCGAAGCCGATATCTTCTGCTTCTTCGTCTCCCGGATTTGGAGGATTATTGTTATTATTATTATTACCATTACCGTCCCTTGTTGGCACTGTAGATGTGGATGTGCTGGTGATGTTCTGGCAACTTCTCCAACAAATCTGGAACCTACCCACCAAATACCCCGACCAGATTGCATTAACCAGTCCAAACACTGCGGCTAATCCATTGCCGATGTATCCGCTGAGCAGGTTGCTGGCGACGTAGACGTGATGATTCGCGCCGAAGATCGCCATAATGGTTCCGGTGCCGACGAGAAGCGCGCCGAATCCCATTAACGCGTCCATGAGGATCCGGTCGACGATTTCGGTGCCGAGTTCGCGGAAGTTGACGCTGAGTCTGCTTCTTAGTAATAGCTCCGCTTGTGTGTGAGTGGTTGTGTTTGGGTTTGTGGTTGTGATTGTATTTTGTGTTGTTGTGTTTGTTGTTGTGGTGGTGGTCGTGGTAATAGAGTCGAGTAGCTCGCGCAGATACCGCCGCTCTTTCAGGAGGAGCTGCACGTTCGTGTAGCTGAGGTAGAAGTCCCTCGCTGCCACTAGGGTAATAAGCAGGGCGATTGGTCCACCAATGGCCATGAAGACCATCGCGTATTTCGGGACGGGGATCTGGTTCCACACATTGGCGGCGAAGTCGGCTGCGTTGGCGAGTTCGAGGAAGCCGACACCCGCGAGGAGAGAGTTGCGGAAGAGAGGTTGGTGAGATAATTGGAAGTTGTAGTTGTGTTTTCGTCTTGATTTTTGTTTTTGTCGGGAGGTGCATTGGCGGAAAGGATTGAGGAGGGTGGTGAGCTTGGTGGATGGTTTCCGGTGGGCGCGGGTGTAGGTTACATGATTTGTCGGAATGATGGTGGTAGTGGAGGTGGTTGTGCTGGGGGTTGAGGCGGAGATGATGGTGAGGTCGCTCGACTCGCGGAGGAGCTTGGGGATGGGAGGAGATGACATGGTGGTGGTGAGGTGGGAATTGGACCACCATGGGGGAGGGACATGGGGTGAGGAGGGAAGAAGAGAGGAGAGAAGAGAAGAGGGAAGAGAAGAAGGGGGAAGGGGTTGGGGGGGGATGGGGGATGGGCTATTTGGCCGGATTGGGCCTGGGAAATGGGGTGGGGCCCGCCCTGTAGGGCTGAGCCGATCATCCGTGGTTGGCCCTATTTTTGGGGTTACGTGGCCTGCTAGTTAGCAGCTGCAGATTGCGTCCTGGGGGATAAATTGTTCACCGCTGAGATAGTATACGTATATTCAGTGGGTCAGTTCTATTCTATTATACACAGGTGTTTATACACATCATATTTATAAAAACTTTGCTTCCCGCACCATCGACGCCTGGAAATATCCCGGAATCACCTCGTACTCTTCCACCGCCTCGAACCCATACTTCTCATACAGGGGCCGTCCCGCAGGCGTGGAGGCCAAGAAAGTCGGCACGCCTTTCTCATCTGCCCGGTCCAGTCCCCAACGCAGTAACCTCGATCCGATGCCCCGGCCGTTGAACTGGGGGAGAGTGCCCAGCATGTCGAGGTCTGAGCGATTAGCATGATGCAGGTCATACTACAATAAGAAAAAGGACAACTCACAGAAATACCCCTCCTTTCTCCCCCCCATGACCCTCTTCTTCTCGCTGTTCATCAAACCAAAGAATCGCTCACAGAGATCGGCATCCGAGCTTGGGGGCCAAACAGTCTTGGTTTGATTTTTCTCACCATCTGAGGTCATCCCCTCTGGGACAGGATACCACCATTTGGCAAACGCAGCTACCGTTCCCTCTTCACCCGCAGTAACTTTCAAGAACGCGATGCTGGGAGTAGAAGCAGCCCGCGACTCTTCTATCTCGTGCTTGAACTGGTCTACCCAGAAACTGCGCACATCCTCGGTGATGGGAAACATGCGTCGACTGAACGGGTCGGAAAAAGCATGCAGGAAGACATCTGCGATAGCGGGGCTATCACTGGGTGTCGCGGGGAGAATGCGCAAGTCATCTTGCTGAGGTTTCTGGTGGGAGCGTGCGGGGGTTGGCTTGGGTTGTGAGGGGGTGTTGATTAGGCGGGTTTGCAGCTGTGGACGGATGCATGTTTTGGGCATGGTGGGGAGACGCAGTCGATGCATGATGAAGATAATGGAATGATATCGGTTATGATCGGGTACACTAACGACCGACTAGCTGACTTGCAAAGATTGAATTAAATAATTGAGAATTGCTTTTTTTGACTCATTTTGTTCCGTGAAAAAATTGCCACTTTTTGCTGCTATCACGTGGTTCCGATGGAATGATTCCGAGATCGTTCCGAGATGAGTGTGTGGAGATGCGATTGATCGGGCCATTTTTAGGACATCATGTTATGAAGGATGAAACTGGCAAGAAACTGGTGAAGATTCAGAGTGACAAAATATTATGTTAGGTAGCTAAATAGGTATTAGCTGTGCTAAGCCGAGCTACTAGGCAATAGTCGTAAGACTAGTAGGATATCGGGATAGGCGTAGGGCGAGCTTACTGTGCACAGGCAGTAAAGTGTAGCTAATGCTTGTAGTAATACACTAAATTTTACTCATAATTATCTAGTAATGCCCATTCTTACTCACAATTTGTGACACTCAGCCACCACAACGATTTACAGATGCCTCGCAACCCGCGGATTCCGAGCTGCATATAGGGCTGACCAACAAGCCTCTGGTCCGCAAGGCGAGACCCCTAAGCTTTTGGAACCGCCCGCCAGACCAATCACGGCCCCCAAATACACCTGTCGCCCCACAATGGCTGTACCCTGGATGGCACAAATAAGGTCCATACGAAACAAATATGCAGCACACCAGGCAGCCATATTCTAGGGGTCGACAGTTCGTCACGATGCTGTAATTAACAGAGACGGGATATTAAGGGAAGTCGGTGATAGCAGACGGAAGGTTGGTACAAATTATTCTGAGTCCATTGTCGTCAACGGCGATTCCCACACGATGAAACCAATCTTCTTAAGTACGAGCCATTAGGCTTCCTCATAACGGCGATTCCCGTGTGATTACTGTCCCTGGCCCCCACAGGCAGGGTTTCGCGCCGATCAATAGCTTCGGGCAGTTCAGCGTCTCGCTCACACGCTGCGCCCAATGGCTGTGCTGACGGCAGCCTAGAGGGTCTCCTCTTTGTCCGATTTCTCCTATATGTCCTGAGTACAATTGCACTTCTTCTGCTTGCTCTCTTCTGTTTCTACTTTTTCTATCTGTATATGTATCTGAAAACCTCTACTGCACCATATCAATCATACATACTTCATATGAACACTCCAACATGACCTCTTCCACCACCCGCAAACAGAAGAAACCCCAGCAGTCCAACCGCAAGGTGCTGCTGGCCGACACCATCGGACAGACGCTGTACGAGCGTCTCCTACACGCCCGACTCGACTGTCCCATCGCTCACTGGGCGCCTGTGCACCATCCTCTGGCTCCTCAGCCCTCATCCACCATCAACTGCAACCTCAGCATCAACAGCACCAGCACCAGCACCCTCACCACCTCCCCATCAGCCTCCACCTCCGACATCAAAAGCATCCCCTCCAGCCGCACCAGCCATGACTCACTCCACAAACCCTCATCATCATCCTCATCTCTCCCACCCCTCCCTTCCAACCGCATCATCACCCTCGGCGGACCCTGCACCAACCTCACCACCCTCACCACCATCACCCACTTAGCCGCCAAATACAGCCAAGTCTCGCACATGTCCCTGCTCGACCCAAGCTACACTGTCTTCCTCAACACCACGCACACCGCCGCGCTCTGCTTCAAAGTCGTACACCAAACAGCCATAGTTGCCGGCGACCCCATCAGCTCGGAAGAGAACATCCCATCTCTCCTCTCCGAATTCAAAACCTACCGCAAATCCCACCTCCTCGGCATGGCCTTCCTCGGCGCCAGCCCACGTCTCACACACTACGCCCAAAGCCAAAGTCAAACCCAGACCACTACAAAAAACAACTGGACAATGCTCCACTTCGGGACCTCACGCGTCCTCAACCCCACCACCAACGCCCTCCTCAACGAAACAACCGGAAAGCGTCTCATTTTACAAAACAAACAACTCCTCAACCCAAATAAAGGCGGGATAACCCTCGACATATACATTCCCGGCAGCAATCCCACATTAGAAAAAGACCTCCAAGAGATATACACAACCTGGCGCACCACCCGCAACACCTCATCCACTCCCCAAGCCTTCATAACAGAATACACTTCCCCCTTCTCATCGACTCTCCTCCCCTCCCTCATGACCTACATCTATGCCAAGGATAAAAACGGTGTGCCGCTAGCTTTCGCAGGCCTGCGCTACTGCGGCGCTAACAATGGATACCATATCGATCCGTGCGTTGCGCTACCGACGGCTCCCAAGGGGCTGACAGATCTGTTGATGTTTGCTGCGATGGCGCTGTGTCGGCATGCCGGGGTGGGGTATTTGAGTGTGGGCTTTGAGCCATTAGAGGAGTTGGGTGAGGTCAGGGGGCTGAGGGGCCCGTTGGAGCATTTGGCGAGAGGGGCGTATCGGTTTGCGTTTAAGCGGTTGCCGTCCATTCAGGGGAAGAAAGCGTATTATGATAAGTGGAGGACGGAGGAGGGTTTGGAGGAAAGGTTGTATTTGGTGTTGACGGGGGCGGGAGGTGGACTGGGGGTCGTGGCGGTGACGCATGTTGCGAATGTGAGGATTAGGAGGGTGGTTTGGGGGTAGGAAGTTCTACTAAAAGGGAAGAGGGTGTAAGTAAGTATGCTTTAGGGTTATTTTGTCTTCTTTGGTGTATATTTGGATGTGTGTATGATATGGTCTGGTAAATGGGGGTTTTCATAGTATTTTAGTAGCATATGAGTTTAATTGAGCATATGATTTGTCTTCTGGTTACGAATACGAAGCATTGCTACTAGACGCCCTGCTACATACTACTTAATATGGGATATTCCAACATAGATCTGTTCTCGAAGTCATATCAATGGATTGAGTAGTTAGTGGGAAAGCAGCATGAAGAATGCTCATGCAAATTAGGCGTGGTGGAATAAGGGTGCTAAGCATGCAGTATACTGAGGATAATGTTCCTAAATACAAAAGCCGGTGAGCCATCTCTCGTCATGAGGCTTACGCCATAGCCAAGTCATTGTCAGTCGTCCAGTTGACAGCTCTACAAAAGCTTCATTTGCTGCCCGTGCTCGACTCGACGGCATGATCTGTATTGTCAAGAATAAGAATCATCATTCAGCAGAGCAATGCATTGTTTTTGGGCCACAGCCACTGTTCGGAGAACAGCATGTCAACTGGTTCGTCAATATTCTGTACGTGACTTCCCGAACTTTTGAATGTTCCTTGCTAGTTATTGATATAAAATAGCATGTTACGTCAAAATGGGTATGAAAATATTTTCCATGATGCCCAATGACACTCAGCCGAGCGCTGTGTTAAACAGTGTCCATACCAATCCGCTTGACTCTTGGAGAGTCTCTTACTAATCTGTAGGGCTGCATATCTTATTAGTATCGACAGAGAGCGCATACATGCGTCAACCAGATAAGCAGTGGCTATGTTGTAAATCTGCACACAGTCACCTGTCAAAGGCCTGGTTTGGCCTATCGCCGACAGTATTTGTCCAAATAAGGTTACGGCTATTCTGATCCTAGGAGAGGTATCAGCCGGAACGACCCTGACCATGTACTCGGGGTCTCATGCAACACGGAGGTAAAGATCAGGTCGTAGGTAACTCCCGTAGGCAGCAAAGGGTTTGGTGAAGTGCCTAGTTATGGTGAATACTTCAACCATTTCCCAGCCCAAGTCTCTTTACATGATCAATTAACAACATGAAATTTGATTTCTCAACTCACCTAGAAATCGACCTCATCAAATTCATTACTGGAACGCTACTATTTATCTACTCGATAACATAATCTCAACTCCCAGCACCATGTCCGCCACCGTCCAGACCCGAGTCGTTGATCTCGACCAGCTGATTCCCCGTGTGGTTAGTAAGGATCGGGAAGGTATTTGCAGCTCCCCCCACCCCAAACAACAGCTACAGACCAACAGCTCCTAATTTATTCTAATATAGAGAAGGACGTAGAAATTCTTCTTCCATGGGTCTATGACCAAGCCAACATTGCCCGGGGGACTCACTTGTTCGACTGGCCCGACGAGGATCATGAATTTCGCTTCCTGTTCGAGCAGTTTTTTGCTTACCAGATTGCTCTTACCCCCAAATCATCTAGCTCCATTGGCCCTATAACATCCAAAGGGGAGATTACGCTGCCCCGGATGAACTGGAAGGTGGCGGGGCGAGAGTCCCATCGCTATTTCGTTTCCTCACAGGGCTTCATACTACGGATTTTGATGCAGATGGTCCATAGGAAGCTCAAAAGAGTCATGAAACCCGAACAGACGCAGGGTCTCGAGATTCGGTGAGACTTTTGCTCCTTCCGTGTCAGATATTCAATGGGGCAAATATTGAAAAATTACTGACATCGAGTAACAGGTCCCCTAATTTGATATCATCATCATCCAAGTATGTAATAGGGCGTCAAATGTATGCCAGCAGGCCGGTGGGTCAGGTGACAGTTGGTCCCCGTGACAATTCACTGCCGATCATCTCTTATACCGGGGTGCGTATATTTCTACCATTTTTCTTTTTTCTTTTCCTCCGGTGTCTCTTGGCTAACAAGCTACAGTGGTTCGAGGGACAGACCTGGGAAGGGTTCGTTGGGGAAGTTCTCAGTGTCATGCTTGGCCAGCTGGCAAAAACTTTTACCATTCACAAGCATAATCAGGGGCTGCAGGATCAGGAGGTCTTCGTGGTTGGCTTTTATGGCCCTCATATTTACATCGCCCGTGGGCATTTCCCTACTGATGAAATCAGCAGGGTGCATTCGAAAGGATTATCGGGCAACGAATCCTTCGAACTGGAATTTACGAGAGGGTATAATCCTTGCCAGAAGGATGATTGGCTAGAGGCTATGCGGGCGCTGACAAGACTGTTTCGATACCTCCTGAGTGGAACTTCAAAGGTTAGCGCCATGCAATGTTTCTTGTTAAAATCTACCTCCACGGCGGAGGATTCATGATGCACGTTGCAACCTATCATGGGCTGTGAATACCCCATTTGATCATTCAATGCTTTGCTTGGATTCTTAAGGTATAGTGGAGTTATCACGGTGGTTAGGCCAGTCATTAAAGGAATTCCATTTGAGGCAAATTTAGGCCAAGTAAAAACTTAATGAAACTAAACTCTGAGCCCCTTCGCAACATTAAATTCCTGTCAAAGCTACCTCACCCCAAGACGCGTATGCCCCGGCCCTAAGTCAATTTGATTCTCCTACCCCCAACTAACGAAAACAGTAAAGTATGGGCCTACTTAGCAATCGACGACCTGAAGCTTTTTCCCCAATTCCAAATGTCTCCACAACCAGTGTACTCCTCTGAGTATTCACTACGGTGATTATGGGACACTCTTCACCTGCCAAGCACTGACTGTGAATGGTACCACCAAGAAAGTAGGGGTGAAGTCAAAAGCTTGCTGGTGGTAGTCGGGTTATTGATGATACTCCACGAGGTTGCAGACAATGAATAGCATTATTACTCGCTCACTATTAATCAATCTGATTTACCCCCAACCCCCGATCCACATTATTCCCATCTAATCATCCGCATCCCTGGGATCATGTGTCTTCCAAAACTCCTCATACTCATCCTGTGTTTGCCCCGGCACAGGCTGATAAAACGTCAACGGGGCAAGAGGAATGCCCAAATGCTCCATCTTCTCAATCTTCCTCCTCGTGGTCTCATGCCTCTTGTTGACACTATACACACTAATGCGATGCGCCGAGGACGTCACATGCAGACCCCAATTCCACGCAGCCCGCACATTCAACGGCTGGGTATTCAACGAATTATCCCAACACCGACAGACAATCTCAATCCAACCCTCCACATCACACGGCAACTCCATCTCCCACGTCCGCCACGTCCACCTCCCCTTCTTCGACAACTTCTCCTGCGGCACCGCATACCAACTGAACCCTCCATCCGCCGACAACTCCACCCGCTCCGGCCACCGTCCACCCCCGGAATACGCCCACCCCTTGCACCGGATCTTCCCTTCATGGACAATCACCTGCTTCGTCCAGGGTGACATAATCGCCGAACTGACCGGCATTTCCTGGATCTGGATCCCATCCGTGGGACGCTGGTTATATTTCCCGACCTGCTGGTTGAAGTAGAGATACTCCCTGCTTTGCACGGGTGCCCGGGATGGATTCTCAATCGCCTTGATCCGATACAGCCACTTGACGCTGCGCGCTCCGATATACCCCAGTACCACCACCCGCAACGGATACCCATGGATCTTGGGCAACGGCTCCCCATTCATCTCCCACGCAAGGATCACCTCATTCGCCTTGACCTTCGACCACGGCACACTCACCACGTAATTCATCGCCTCCAGATCCTTGATGTACGTCTCCGCGCCATACAACTCCAGATGCTTCGCGGGCGCAATCAACCCCCCGCAATCCTTAATCACCTTCTTCAAACTAATCCCCACGTACCGCGCCGTCCCAATCGCCCCTTCCGCCCACGGCGCCTGCGGCACTTCATCGCCCTGGCCCCCATACAGCGCAATCTGCTCGATCCGCCGCGTCCCCGAACACTGCATCGTCACGAGTTTCTCCATCCGCGGGAACCGCGTCTCATCCTGCAGATCCTCCAGTGTATAATTCTTCGGATGCTTGACCAGTCCATCCAGCTGGAGACTCCACTTATCCTTCTCGATCAGGGGAATGCCTCCGTGATTGCGCACAAAGTGTAGCGGATTCGGCGTGACCACCTTAGACGTCACCAGCCGCTTCGGCGGCTCCCCGTTATACGGAAACTGGAGCAGATGCAGCATATCCGGATGTTTCTCCCGGAGCACAGTGCGCCAGCTATCATCCGCCACGGAGGCAAGTTCCCCGCCCAGCGCAGCGTGCCATTGCTTGAAATCCTCGCCGGTCAGGACGGGGTTGGTGTCGGGGATGGGACCGAACATGTAATCCGGACAGGGGTCGAAGGTTTGGGAGGTGAGGATGCGGTGCGCTTTGGCTTTTTTGTCGGGGTAGTTTTCCCATTCCACGTATCTATACCAATCATGCAACGTTAGCATAAAACATTATGAATAAAGGGATGTGGTAGAGGGAGAGATAAATACCCTTTCCACCCCTCCTTCTCCCTCTTAAACAACTCATTTCGATCTCCGACTGCCTCAATCGCCTCCTCATCTTTATACCGCTGCGTCGGCTTCGGCGGGTAGATGTGCACGGTGTCCAGACCCGATTGATCGAGAATAGGCAGTTTGTGACCTGCCATGCCTTGCTCGATCTTCCATTCGTCGGGTCGGTTGGTTGTGTCCATTTGGGCGGTTAGGGTCGTCATGGTGCTGGTTTGGGTGGACATGACCTTTTCCCAGATCAGTCCTTTATTGTTCTATTAATGTAGGATGTTTGTGATGTGTGAGTAGGTTGATGTGGATGGGTGGTGATGGGTGTTTTATATGCTTGATGAAGTATACCAAGAACAGAAAATAGTAGTTGTAGTAGTAGTAGTAGTGTATGGGAGGAATACGCCGGAAGCAGCAGATTCGAAAAGAGGAGAAGGAGGTGGGGGGAATGCATGTATATTAATTACCTGGTTGGTTTAGTGAGTTGGTGGAATGTTGGAACGGGTGACTTCATGACTACCACTACCACAGACCAACTAACTAACTATAGTATACTAGTATTTATCCCTGTTGTATGTTTACACCCGAGGAATCGCCGGACCTGTCGGGTTGAGCGGGGAAACGGGATATCTGACTGGGTTGAGTCAGATTGGGGATATTTCTTGTTTTGCGGTGGATGGTGTAGGGACTTGTGGTATACTTGTTTCATAGTGGAGGGATATAGGGAGGGAGGTTGTAGGGCTGGGGTAGCTAGCTAGCTGGTGTGGACTGTGGAGTGGGTAACGTTATCATTAGGGTGGATCTTGGACGTTAGTGCTTCGCAGTTAGTATGGTAGACTTGTTAAATGAGGTTGGTAAGTGGCATTGGAATGGACGTGATTGGTGAATGCGCGGTCTAGATCCGGAATTGGGTTTGGGGGGAGGGGGTTATGTTCCGATGCATCCGGGTGTCTTGTTGATCAGAGTAGTGTGGATGTTATGAAGGGGGGGAGTAGATAAGGGTTTCTGTATTGTGTATATTTATTTAATTGTAATTTGGTGTATATCGTGATGTTTCTTATATGTTTAAATAGTATAATTTGCAAGTCTGTAAGTACTGTTATAAATTATAATAAGATAAATGAAGACGAAAGAGACCTGTACAGCATGTGATAAACTTACTATACAATCTGAGAAAGCGTATTGAAACTGCCCCGTCACAGCCCATATGCAGCAAATTCCTCCCGATGGTTGGATTGGCCACTGCCATGCACAAGAATGCTCCTTGACATTTTTTCTCCGAAAGTACTAAGCAATGACAGCTGGCATGCATTCTTGACTATCCTAAAACAACACTATAATCAACACTTTTATACCCCTAGCTACACAAAGTACAGCACATCTACCTATCTATTTTCTGCTCTCCCTCTTCCTCACCACCTCCTCCGTAGCCTTCTTCACCCCTTCGCCTAACCCCGGATCCACCTTTGAAAACAGCTCTACATTCATCAGCACCATCACCTAAAACAAACCAAAGAAATCAAGGGATAAACTCACCATACACCCTCCCTCTCAACTTATCACTCCAAACCTGTCCCAAATGCACCGCCACATTCCCAAAGAACCGTTCCTGATGGCCCTCCTCCTTTCCGATCACCTTCCACAGCCCCCTCGCTTGCACGAAATCATCCTCATACAGCCCATACTGAAAGTTACTCACCTGGCCCACCCACTTCTCATGCTCTGTGAGGGTGCTAACAGCCTGCGGTGCTTGTCCTTTCACATCTTGGTAGAATTTAATGGGCTTCAGAGATGACCCGACGTAGTTGGGATCAGCGCCGTAGTTGTCGGAGAAATTCATTTGTCCGTCGCGCTGGTAGGGACAGTACACTTGGGTTTTGGCCGCGTTGGTGGGAAGTTGTTGGTAGTTGGTGCCGACGCGGTAGCGTGCTGCGTCGGGGTAGGAGAACATGCGCGCTTGGAGCACTATACCATATATATTAGTTTTGGACTGGACTGAGGAGCAGATCGTGTAGGCTTACTAGGATCGGCGGATGGAGCAACACCAGGAACCATATTCGATGGAGAGAAGGCGGCTTGTTCAATGTCGGTGAAGTAGTTCCGGGGCTGATCAACCACCATTACCATCAGCATGGACCTATCTGTAACCTGGTAAATAGTGGAGATGACATACATTCCGACTCAACTTCATCGTCCCAATCTGCCGCAGCGGAAAATCACTATGCGGCCACACCTTGGTCATATCGAAAATATTCCATCGGTAGTTTTCAGCCTGCTCCGGGGACATAACCTGCACGTAAACATTCCAGGTCGGATAGTCTTTCCGCTCGATGGCCTCAAAGAGATCCTGGATGAGAAAGTCGGGATTTTCTCCGGCCATGCGGACAGACTCTTCTTTGGTAAGGTTCTTGATGCCTTGGGTGGTCTTGATATGGAATTTGACGTATTTGAAGGAGCCATCCTGATGCAGAGTCAATGAGTAACCATATATCTGTGAAACAGGGGTAATACCTTGAGGGTGAATTTGTAGGTATGTCCACTGTAGGCATTTATATGTCTCAACGACGCAGGGGTGCCTCGATCACTGAAGAGATGGAGAAGCTGGTGGAAGCCTTCTGGGTTTCCGGCGTGGAAGCTAGCCAGTCAGTAGATAGTCACTCCTATGTAGCAGTAAACGTACTCCCAAAACTATCAATGACAAGTTAGCACCTGACCCAACACGACGACTCATAGAAGAAGAAAAAAATACCATATTCGGGTCCGGCAAATGAGACTGCGGATTCCGCTTATGAGACCGATTCAGCGACGGGAACTTGAGCGGATCTCGAATGAAAAAGACGGGCTATAACCAACACATTAGCTTATTATACCCTCACTTTCACATCTTCCCATGGAGGAAAGGTATTACCGTATTATTGAACACCCAATCCAAATTCCCCTCATCCGTATAAAGCTTCATCGCCCAGCCATGCACATCACGCAGGGTATCGGCTGATCCAGCCTCCGGACCAACGGTCGAGACGCGCAGGAGTAACTCGGTGGTTTTGCCGATTTCGCTGAGGAAGCTGGCGGAGGTGATGTCGGAGCAGTCGTGGGTGCAGGTGAATTCGCCGTAAGCGCTGTGCTGTTAGTAGGGTTGCTGTTGTTGTTGGGGAGATAGAGGGGGAGGAAATGTACCCGGCTGCTTTGGCGTGGACTACGCTGTTGAACAAGCTATCAGTACATGTAATGATGGTGATGGAGGTAGTGAAATTACCGCTCTGGGATCCGCTCGCGAGCAAAGTGAGAGAGAGTCTCAATGAGCTGGGTATCCTGCATTAGAAGCAGGCCGCCATTGCCGCTGCGCAACTGCACCGAACTGGCGTTGCTGGCGTAGGGGCAGCCTGGATTATTAGTATCTTTTTACTATATGTAAATTTATAAGGACATACCTTCGGCGAGGGTATAGTAGCGTTGATCCATAATCCTAGTAAAAGCAATTGATGACAGAACCGACAAGTTGCAATTATCCACTACAAAACACTTAATTTTCCCTCCAAGGAATCATGTTTATACTTATACCCTGACCCCCAAAAAGTCAATTACATCACAGCACACTACACTACCCAATGCTTATCAAACCTTACCACCACCATCATCAAATAAGACACACTCTTTACTCATCCAAATAAATTGCAACCGTTAAACCGTAGAAAACTGCTCACTTCACCACAACCCTAACCCCCATGCCCCCCCTAACCTCTCCACCTTTCACAACCACCCCCAAAACCCCCCACCAGCCCTTCCTGACCCCCCGAAACGCCTCCCTCAACCCAGGTCTCACTCGATCCAATCCCGGTCCAGGCTCTCTCACACTCGTAATTACCACCACTGCCCCATCATCCTGATTCCCAAAGTGTATCTCCGTACCAGGGGGTAGATTCCCCAACTCGATGCCCTCCGTCGTCACGTTTTCGCCGATCCCACCCGGAGTGAGGGGCTTGGTGCCCTTGAAGGAGGTGGAGGAGATGTGACGGAGGGATTCGATGGGGAGGAGGTGGATTTGGCGGAGGTTGCTGGCTGTAGTGCTGCCGGTGGTGTGCTGGGTGGTTTTGCCTGCGTGGCAGTCGCCGCTGACGCCGTGGTTGGGGAGGAGAGTTATTGATGGTACTGGGGTTTTGGAGATGGTGTGGGTGGGGGATTTGGAGACGGAGAGGACGCGGGGGAGGGTGGTTGTTCCTGTTAGGGTTGTTGTGGATGTAGTAGTGGTGGTTGTAGACATTGTGGTGTGGATGGGATGGTTTGTATACAGAGTGGATTGTTTGTTATGATTAGTGTAGAATGGATGGTTAGGAGTTTGATGAAGTGGGATATAGTCTGGGGTGATACTAATAGAATGATGGTGGGGTTACCCCTCCTGCCAGCTCAGCGACAGGGATCATCATCATCAGATGATTAGTCTCTGCTTGACGGAAGCTTAACTGGTTAGTACTGTGTTGATATGGTTGGTTCTTTCTCGGGTAGGTCGATCTCGACTACTTAGAAATAGTATTTAGCTTGCCTAAAGTTCACAATATTCACAATGTGCACAATATTTCCATATAGAACGGCACTTCAATAGGTCTACCCCGCCAAATCCCGATCCCATCTCCCTCGGATACAATCCTCCAAATCCACCTCCCTCACCAACAACCCATCATCATCCAACGTTACTCCTCCCCTCGAACCCGCCAGAATCTCTCCAAACGGACCCACTATCCACGCTGCCCCTCCACACCCACTTTCTCCCGACGGCCCTTCCCTTCCACTACCACTACCACTACCACTACCACCAACATGAACATGTCTCTGCTCCACTCTCCCCGGACTCATTTCCCCATCCACATTCACACCCATATCGGCGTCTGATTGTCCTGGCCACACAATCTCATGCGGTCCCTCCGCCGTCACAGACCTCCGTGGTCCCATAGCAGCAGCTGCACCACCACCATCGGCATGCCGAACCTCCGGCCAGACAATCTCATGTGGCCCTTCAGCTGTAATAGACAGGGACCGTTTCTTCGCGCCTGGTGAGAACTGCCAGCTGGGAATCCGGGTAGGAGAGGCAAGTTGATGTTGATGCGCAGGCTGAGAAGTAGTGTAACTTCCTAGAACGAATACTCTTCCTTCGACAGCTACCGTGCGCAGTAAACTCTCCCATAAGCCAGTTTCATCGCCACCATCGCTGTCACCGCCATCGAGATAGGAGACACCGCCGAGGGAGATGTAGACTTGAATACCAGCTGTATAGAGTTCCTGCCGAATAAGCGGATGGTAATTCTCCTCGCATAAGCCGACCCCTATCTTCACCTCGAGCCCACTTTTGCAATTGATAGTGATCGGAGATGTATGCGGTTGTCCGGAAGAGAGGTATGTCTTTGCTGCGCCGGTCTATATCATCACCACCAAATTATTAGCATACCCGTCCATCATCATACAGAAAGATAAGAGGTACAAACCAGCGCAAAACACCTCCTCTTCTCCACCAACCCATCCGCAGGATGGATATACACCACAGTATGATACAGATTCCCACACGCGCGCTCCAGTAACCCCACGATCAGGAACAGTTTGGTTTCCTGAGCGAGATGCTCCAGGATCTCTCTAGCTTTGGATTTCTTCTCGGCGTGGCATTCGGGATTACTTCCCGGGTCGGATAGGTCGTGAGCGCAATTGAATAGCTTCAGATATTGATCCCTTGGACTCTTATTTCTTGCTGTTGCTGCAGCTGGTGTCGCGTAAGACGGGATGACGAGGAGATGAGCGCCCTTGGACGATGCGGAGTGCGCGAGCTGGGTGATTTGGGATGGGGAGGTGGATGTTATGGTTGGGTGGGCGATGGCGAGGGTGAGTTTTCTGGGGGACATAGTAACTAATCCGATTATACTAGATAATGATTATGACTATTATGAGAAGGATCAGGATGATCATGATGATGTTGTTTGAGTGGTGGGGGTGAGATGACGAGGTTGGAGTGCGGAGAAGTTACAAAGTTAGACCCATGGTTACATGTGACGTAGTGCACTCTTTGTTTTGGCATCAAACGGCCCCTGACAACACGTCATTTGGATATGAAGCTTTCTCAGTGACTGCTGGATTGATACCATATACTAATTACTCGACCGCTACAGATGACAAGGGTGTAGGAATAAATCAATCTTCCGGTATTGCGTACATACATTGATTCAATGTCTTATAATACATAAGCTCAACGCTAGACGCAAGAAATAGCTGCAATGCAAGCCCATGCGCCTCGCTATGACTCCAATTTTAATACCCAAACAACCCGTTCCATCACAACTTAAGCAAAGCGTATAAACAGGAAAAGATCAGTTAAACGTTCATCCCCTTTGCGGTCGCAGCCTGCTGCAACACCCGCGGCCACCGAGAGATCATTTCCACATCGTCCAGCGCGCCCTTGCCCTGGTTGCGCACGTATTGCGCACTAGGGTCCACTCGCGGCTCGTAGTCCCAGATCGATGGAGTGCCCTGGATCAGGGCTGAGTACACGAGGCGTCGGCGGCGCTGCGACCGCAACACGTCGTCGCGGATCTTCTCCAGATCCCACCGCGCGTGCACCTCCTCGGTAAAGTACGCCAGCAGCTTGGCCGGCTCACGGCTCTCCGGGAGGGCATACGCCGACTTGCCCGGGCTAGGGGTGCGCGGGGGTGTGGGGAATGGGAACGACGCACGCTGCATCGGTGAACCCCGAGGCGAATCGCCTGGCGTGGGCAGCGGCGCAGGGTTCAACTGTGTGACAGGCACGGGCTTGGGAGCCTCAAACGACGGCTTCTCCGTCAGCCCCGCCACCAAGTTGACCCGCTCTTGTGGGTCGGCCTCCAAGTCGAACAACATGGGTGGGTCAATCAACGAGTACACGAACTTGTAGCGCCCGCGCCGGATCATCACCGTTGGCGACTGTGTACCTTCTGCCATGTACTCACCCAGCACCGTGTTGGTCTTGACGCCGTCCTCGCCGGTCAGGTAGGGCATCAGCGACACGCCGTCCAGCGGCAGCTCGCGCACCAGCGGTGCCCCCACCATCTCTGCGAACGTCGGCAGCAGGTCCATGGTCGAGACGTTCTCCTTGACCCGCTTGGGTGCGAATCGCTTGGGCGCGTTCACAATGAACGGCACACGCGACGAGTTCTCGTACCAGACCATCTTGTACCAGAGACCGCGCTCACCTAGCATGTCGCCGTGGTCGCCAGTGAACACGATGATGGTGTCGTCGCGGACTCCGCAGTCATCAAGCACCTTGAGCAGCTTGCCCACGTTGGTGTCGACGTACGTGCAGGCAGCGTAGTAAGCGCGGCGGGCCGCCTTGATACGCTCCTCGGGCATCTCCTTGCCCCAGAGGTCAATGCACTTGAGCACACGCTGCGAGTGCGGATCCTGCTGGTCCTGCGGGATAGCCGCCTGCTTAGGCAGCGGGATGTCGACGTCCTCATACAGATCCCAGAATTCCTTAGTCATGGCATAAGGGTCGTGGGGATGAGTCATGGACACGGTCAGACAGAACGGCTGGTCGTTGCGCTGACGCACATGATCATAGAGGTACTGGGTCGACTTGTAGATGACCTCCTCATCAAAGTCCAGCTGGTTAGTGCGCACCACGGGACCCGCCTCCATGACGGAAGACATGTTGTGGTACCAGTCGGGACGGATTTCCTATTTCGGTCAGCATTTCGCCATTCCCCAAGCCGGATGGCGGGGTGAATAAACTTACCGGCTCATCCCAATTCACTGACCAGCCGTAATCGCCAGGATAGATGTCGCTGGTCAGGCGCTGCTCGTATCCGTGCAGCTGATCCGGACCGCAAAAGTGCATTTTACCGGCCAAAGCGGTATGATAGCCTTCACGGCGCAGATAGTGAGCGTAGGTGGGGGTGTCTGCAGGCAGATCGGAAGCGTTGTCGTAGGCACCGATCTTGGAGGGCAATTGACCGGTCACCATGACGAAGCGCGAGGGCGCGCAGAGCGGCGAGTTGCAGTAGGCGGAGTCAAAAACGACACCTTCCTGCGCCAACTTGTTCAAGTTGGGGGTCTTGATGGGGGAATCCTTGTCGTGGAAGGCCAACAAGGGGGCCGCCATCTGGTCGGCCATGATGTAGAGGATGTTAGGCTTCTTCTCAGCCATGATGATGATGGAGGACACTCTCTGTCCGGGGAGTGATGCACTGAATCAGGATAGAAGTGAAGTCAAAAGGGGGAGACGCGTGACGTCGACACCAAGGAAGACAATGATGTCGGAAAGTGTGACGGGAAGGTTTAAAAAGGAAGGAAATGACGGAGGAGTATGTGAGAGAGAGGAGTGTCAATAGAGAAAAGGGAGCGGACGACAAAGAGAGACAACCGGGCCAGAGAAGGATATAAGTAAGTCAGGCGGAGCGAAGGACTGGTGGAGACGGAAGACAGTAGACGAGCAAAAAATTGACCAACCAACCAAAGCATCCATGGATGGGCAATGAAAACCGGGAGGGAAAAGGGCGACAGCCGCGCTACCGGGGCGTGTCGCACCAGATCTCCATGTCACCGCAACAATGGAACCATCAGCGGGGACGATGGTGTGATTGCGGAAGGTTCCATGGTTGGTGACGCAGGGAGGGTGATCTCACAGCCACGGGAGGAGGATCTTCAGGAGAGCCGAATAGAAGAAATGATTAATTAATTGTATCTGGGGGTGTTGGTTGTTGTGTATGTATCTATCTGTATCTATCTCCTGGAACAGATACATAACAAAGTCCCGAAAAATGTGACTTTCTTATTTTGAAAGTCTTGGCTAAGTTTGCTGCATGGTATCTTTTCTACGACTAGACTAGTCTACTATGGTAGTTCCGTTAGCATTATCTTTCTGCTGCTTTCTGCTGCTGCCCCCGGCATATTTTCAAAGAACCAGAGTGGAGATCGGCAGAACCGCCTGATAACCGCCCGGGGCTCCCCAATCACAGGCCAGAAAAGGGGCCACCGCCAATCCCTCTGATAGGCAACGGATTCCTCGAGGCGTTGCCACGCGAGCCAATCGCGGTGGCGCGGTTCTCCGATGGCGACACTAGTAAAACTGGTACTTTAGTCTAATCAATGGTCTTTTATCTTAGCCGAGTATATACCTGTTACTATTCATCTACCACCCTCTCCACATTCCTTGAATCTCCCTCCTGCCTGTTTTGTCTGAAGATAGACAATCCGCTGACACCGCTGCTTCGCTTCATTTTTCGAAATAAACCATCTTCCCTTCCCCGGTC